AGAAGTCTTACAAAAACTTTGAAGTCATAGTTGAAAAGAACACGAAATTTTGCAAACTTCTTAAAAAGACTGAAAAATCAATGAATATTTTGTCAAATATTTTTCATTAAAAAACATAGAAGATCTAAAACCTAACTCAAAAAAATAACGCATGACATTCGCAACATATTTCAAGATACAATCTCCATCGTATCTTATGAATTAATACATTGTCGATACGTATTAATTTATCAAATTCTAATATATTTTCAAAAGATTACGAATTTATTCAAAAAAAAATAAAATACATACGTCAAGAAGAGAAAGTCCAGCAAGGCCCGGAAGTGTTGGATCAATTGGTAAAGTACTTTCTGAACTATCATATCCATTATTTGATTCTAAATCACTTTCACCATTATGTATATGTAGATTATCACTGATCTTGTTCCGGTATCTTTGAGACATTTTATGTAAACTTAAATTTTTAATATTAACACAAATATATAAAAACTACAAGTATAGAGGCACTTGGATCAATTATTCGTCCATTTGTTCAATACCATTATAGATGATCATTTCTATGACAACAGATAATGACCAATGATCAATTATGTTTTATAATACAATAATTAATAAATAGAAAACTTTGTAAGAAAAAAGAAAATATTTTTTTGAAATATGTATTAAATTAATAATTAATCTATTAGAGACATCTTTTAATTATTAGCGACATTCACTCATAACTTATTTTACTGGAGAATATGAATAACGAATAAAATAAACATTGAACATTCATTCAAATAATTCTTATTAGATCATAGAAAATGACATCATCTTCATTAGTATGTTCAATTGATGGTTGTAAACGACCTATTACTTGTTTATGTCATCATTGTCAAAAAAATTTATGTTCAAAACATTTTAATGAACATCAAATTCAAGTAAATAATGAATTAATACCTATGACTGATTGTCTTAATGAATGTAAAAATTTTATTTTTTGTAAATCTATTTGATAAGATTGATATCTATTTTGTTTTTAGTAAAGATGAGACTTCAAATTGATGAGAAAACAGGTCCATTAGCTATGTTACAAATGTGGCGTCATAAAAAATATAATGAAATTGATCAAGAATATAATCTTGAAGTAGAAAAATTAAAAAAGAAAATATCCAAATATGATGAACAAATCTCTGAAACAGTTTCTAATATACAAGAACTTATTAATGAAGGTGATGCATCTATTGATCAAGTCAAAGAAATACAAAAAATAATTGAAACTATAACAGATCAAGTAAATAATCTTACAATGAGTGAATCGATAGAAATAATTAATGAACAAAATTTACTTGGTACATATATACGTATGGGAAGTATTCAATATCTTGTTAAAGCAAAAATTAAATGTAATAATATAGATTTATATGGATTGGAAAGTGAGAGATCTCTAGTAGGATACGATGGATTATGTCCACAATGTGGTAAAGCTCATGTTCTATTCGAGAGAAATCGAGGATTTTATGCTTTATGTCAAACTCTTCATACTCAAGTTTATAGAAAAAATTCGAAATAAAATTTATCTTTCAATTTATTTGTAATACAAAGAAACTTTTTTATTTTTCTTTTTTAAACTTCAACGAAATTTTCTATCCATTGATTAGAATATAATTTTTTCTTTTTTCAGATATTTTTTTTTTCATTCATGGATATTGTATTACAACAACAACCAACTTATTTAACACCAACACAATGTGCTCGTCAATTTGCTGATGATCTTCTTGAAGTATATATTTTATTTGATTTTAATATTTTTATTTAAATTATCTTTTTAGAATAAAGATATTGCTATATCAATGTCTCATATGATGTCTCCGTCATATTTAATATCATTAATAAATATTGCTGAAATGTATTTAACATATGAACGATCATTATTTTTATCAACAGTAGCCGAAATTGGTTTACTTTGTTCGAATAAATATTATGAACGTGTTCATTATTTTATATCATTTCTTGATGAACTTATTGAATTTCATAATGATATTAAATATAAAATTTTAATAGAAAAATATTTAAATAGAATTGTTTATGCTGATTTAACGGATCATTTTATATCATATCCAATAATATTACAAATTCAAATTATGGCTATTATTGAAAGTACACCAATACTTCATTTTCCATTAATACGAGATGGATCAGAATCTGATCAATCAAAAATTGATTTATTTCTTCAAGATGCTGGTAAAATATTATTAAATAAAAATAATATAGATATATAAGTCCTAGACAAAAGTAGCTATCCAACCTGAAGTGTATCCATCCTTTACCATATTAAGTTAATATTTTGAATGTCTGAATGCAACAATAAAACCTAATCGCAAGCATCAATTAGTCCTCAATTGATTCACATGTATTGGAGTTATGATTCAAGCATAATCTTTTCTTTGCGAAAAACTAAATAGTTAGCACACCCAGAGATCATCAATCCGTGTTATAGAACAAATTTGTCGTCTCATGGGAATTTCTAAATGAATAAAAATAATATTTCAGTTATTTTAAGGCAATTTCTAACAAATTTTTGACTGGAGATAACATCAACATAATCGATAAGGTGATCATAAGAGGAAGATAATGTTTGAATAATAACTCCAGCAAAATGTGAACTAATTGAACATGTATTAGTGCTTGCAATCAGGGCGTATTGTCGCTTGAATGCATTCAAAATATGAAACACAATGTAGATGCTTTTGACAATCACAAGGAGATTGTTTTATTCTATGTACAGTTTATTCTAAAAGTCCGAACGAAATAAAAAACATGAGTAGGGCTTCAACAATTCAAGGTATTTAAATTTGTTCTTTTCATGCGAACTTTTGGAATACACTTCTTCACCATTCTTCTATTTAATTCATATATTATAACGAGACTTTATTGATATACGGCTTTTGGTTGTATGTCAATAATGTTTGAATAGAGGATTGGTGAATGCGAATTTCTACCTTATATACTTCAACACTCTTTTTCAATCGTGTTTCATAATAGTAGCACTTCATAGTAGACAGACTATATTTATCTAGTACTGTATACATTTTTTGTTAAAATGAAATTTTAGCTCGATATTTTCATAATATTTCATCACGTTCACTTTATCGTCGAATTGTCTTTCGTCTTAATTCACAAATATGTTCTCAACAATCAATATTACGTGCACTTATTATTGGTTGTATATTTTTACCATTAACATGTCATGCAGCATTTTTAGATGAACTTTATAATTTATTATCTAAACAACCAATTTTATTATCATTAACAAATATGGAAACATTTTTTCATGTTCTATGGCCAACTGGAATTAATCAATCATATTCTGTACCACGAGTTTATCTTTCACAATTATTAATTGTTCGTTTAAATAATATTCAAAAATATTTTGCACAAATTATTCAAATTTGTTTTTTAATACATCTTCGTGTACCAAATATACGTGTTAATCTTATGGATATTATTGAACCATTATGTGAAACAAAAGGTTTTCAACAATATTTAGATCAACAACAACAAGAATTTAATTTGTAAGAGTTTTTTTTTTCATGAGAATGAAGAAAAGATGATGCCAAGGAATGGAAGTTATACTATTTCAATTCTACAGTTTCGATTCAGATAAGGAAATTTTGAGAAGATTAAGTAGAATTTCAAGATTTGAATCATAAGCAAAAAGTTAAGACTTTCTAGCAAAAATACATGACAGGCTTTAGGTTTCTGTGATATTATTCAAATTCTCATGTCCTGAGATATTCTCAATCTATATATTTTTCGATTTAAAATGAATCTTTGGTTAGCTGTTTTATGTTTAAATCTATTATTGATTAATAGGTCTCGACAAGATGATCAACAAAATGTGTCTATCTTAGAACCAATACTTTGTCAAGTTCGTGAACGTATGAAAAGAGGATTTCGATTAAAACAATTATGTCGAATGAAAATTCGATCACATCTTGCTAAAAATACTAATTCATATATACTTACACAAGTTAATCAATTGAAAGAATTATCTGATACAAATAAAACTTATTTAACATATAATTTAGAATTATTACTCAATGATCCAGAAAAATTTTTTGACTCAACACAACCACAAAATGAACCAATATGGAATTCAAGTATTCCACCGCCACCAGTTAATTAAAAAGAAAAAAACAAATAATGACAATAAATTGTTCTTTTTTTATTTTCGAATACGGATTACTTGAAACAAAAAAAATTTTTTTTTTTTGCATGAATGAATTATTTAAATTAATGTTTTAATTTTTAAATAATGTTTTAAATTATTCAATTTATGAATCTTTCATTTACTATATCATGAATATATTTCATTTTGCATCATTTGTTGTCTCTAATTATCATTTAATATTTATTCAAATAATTCAACAATCAAATTATAAATATGCATAGTTGTTTACGAATAAGTTTTATTTTTTTGTATTGTTGTATTTATTTATTTGAATTACAATTTGACTTATATTTTAAAATGATTTATGATTCTCTTTTCAACAAGTAGTTTTGACATATTTGCAATGTTATAAAAAATAAGAGTGATTTATATTTTATCGAAAAACAATTTTTCATTGTATGCATTGCGTCAGCAGCAAAACTATTCATATTAACCCATTGGTGATTGGGTCTGTACATATACAGTTGCGAAATTTGGCTACGAGAAGAAACCCTGAGATACACTAAAATTAGGATTTTTGATGCAAATTTTTATTCCGATGTACATGTTACACATATGGATGTTATAGAATAGTCTAGGTATAGTATACATATACTTAACTCACGAGAGAACCTCTGCAGATATCAAATTGGTTTTTTTGATCGAGACGATGGCTATTTGAGCAATAGAAAGGTCTAGAATGATTAGGTTTTTCAGGTCTTCCTTCTTAACATATCGAATTCTTACTAGATTTTTCAATAAAAGACTGTGTCCCCTCAGGTTGCATAGAAAATCGAGTTTCAATTTCAAAATTTGTACAAAATAAAGTTTGCAATGAGATTAGTTTATTGGACGAGTTGTAACCTTTCTGATATCTTCTATCATGAGGTATTCTCTTAGGTGTACAAGCAAATTTTGTTTATATATTTACATCTCCAAACAGGAAATACTAGAAAAGCTAAAACTTACTCAATGAACTAATTTCATTAAGGACTTTATTCGTGAAAAGTTTGAAATAGAAAGTCGATTTTTCATGTGATATGAAGAGAATCGCAGGTTTTTGTTGAAAGACTCTTCTGCATAAAGTAAAACAATTATCATCAGCTCTTGTATATGATTTTATGCAAAGTAATTATAAAGAAATTAAAACCTTCTAATAAATTTTTAAAACTAAAAATCATCATTCAATAAAATAACCAACGATAAAAAAAAAAAGATTTTCTTTCTATCAATTGATAGACTCTTCAACAGTGTCATACTTTGCAGTAGGATTTGGTAGACAGAAAAGAGAAATATAGGTCAAAGAATATCGAGAGACAGAACGAACACAGTTGAAAAATGGCAACATAATCGTATAGTTTTTTTTAATGAAAGACATCACAAGAGAAAATGAATTATCAGTATGTAACAAAAAAACATAGAAGTAAAATATTCAAAATAGCTTCTAGAGTAATGTCGTCATCGTTGTTTGAAATTTCACCAAAGAAATAAAATAACGTGTGTGTCTTAAAAGATTATATTTTGTTATGTTATTTATTTACCTTTTTCTTCCTTTCTCGCTATTGTGCATTCACTGTTGTGCGTCAGCACTTGACAACACAATTCATGTTGGTTTCTTCCAACTTACAATTTTATCACATACCTTTCTGATCTTCTCATGATTCCTATTTAAATTGAGTTTACTAGTCAATTCAAATATTTTCACAAAGTTTTCAAAATACAGCGGTAAGGCACAGGTAAATATAAATGCTCTTTTTGTTTAAGATACTTGTGATATTGTGTCATTTATTCTAATAGAAAAGCTTCAGGATTATTTAAAACTTAAAACTGCAAATACATTTGAAGTTTCATATAGACAGAAAATTTTAATCAGACACATCTTAATATGCAATATCTAAAAGGTTGTGTATATACAGATGACAATTTATGAAGCGTTCAGAGCTTTGTTTCAATATAATAATTACGTTATTCGTAGTGAAAAAAATCTTTACGGATGTTAATAAGTATGTTTTTATATCAATCTATTTCTATCAGTGACAAAAGAGATAAAAAATATTTTATATTTTGCTAATGTAAACACATTTTTAGAATGGCATCTAATTATTGGACCGAAAATGATCTCGAACGTGTTATTCAAGACTTTAATCCAGCAAGATTTTTTGGACTTCCATCTGATATGTTTAACCAGAAAGGTGATCTTCGATATTGTAATGAAGAACCGGTGAAGTTAAGCCGTGGTAAATGGGACTATTACACCCCTTTTAAAGGTTGGATACGTTATGGTTTGGATATCGATAAATTTGGTTCTAGTGGTGCACAGTGGCTTGCATGCGATGGCGGTGCTGGTGAATGGGCTGTTGGATTTCATGGAATTCGTCGTGATGTATTGGAAGTCTTGAAAGCCATAGCCTTTGAAGGTTTTAAAGTTTTTCAAGGCAAGAACAGTGAATGGGGTGTAACTTCAAAAGATGTTGGTCCAAATGCATCTTTATTTAATGAGACAACATGTGGAAAAGGTGTATTTTTAACACCAAAGGTAAAACATTTGACAGATAATAGTGAACATTGTCGATTAGTCAAACCGATTCAATACAATAAATATTACTATATAGAAATTGCTTTACAATGTCGAATTCATCCAAAAAAAATTCGAGTACCAGAATGTTCCAAGAATGAATATTATATTGTGAACGATCCGAAGTATGTTCGCCCATATGGAATTATTATTCGTTTTTTGACCGAGGCTCAAGCAAAAAGTATTTTAGAAGATAACAATTTTAATTTAGAACCAGCTATTCCATTTGTTAAACAGGAGACAAATAATTTAGAACAATTAATGGGACTCTTTAAGGTATAAATTATCCAATTAACTTTTTTTACTACCAAATTGCTTGTTTTTAAAATAAGAGTACATGTATTTTTTTTGTCATACAATTTAATAAACTTAATTTTATTGTATTTACATTGAAAAACTCACAATCTTCACAAATCAAGATCAATAGTAGAGGCAGATCATTGATAAAAAGGGAATAGCTTTCAACATCGATCCAGTTGCATGAAAATATCATTCTAATTAAAACAATATAATAGTTGAAAAGAACTCTTATTTAGATCTACTATGGTTGTACGTTTGAAGTGTATAACAGTCAAGGTGGATCAGTATTGGAGCTTACTCTTCACACTCAATCTCGTCTTACGTCACGGCGAAGAATATTCCAGTCAATATAAATATCTGCATCATCAATGATAATGATTTATTGACTGCGAAAAGAGATATGTTGTTTGACTGATCCAAAAATGTGCATTGAGTCTGGATAATGTAATAGTATCATACTACATGATGATTAATAGTCATGTTAAAGTTCATAGTGTTTTGATCTCGATGTAATGATTGTATAGCTGGTTCAAAACAGTACAATCATCAGACGAATTCAGTAGTATTCATTGATTTGCGAAGATGCTCTATGAAACAATCACGTTTCTTACTCTGTCTATTATTGATCAATAAGAATTCCTATTGATGATATCAAATGAACGTACTAAACTAACCAAATCCCTCGTTTACAAATCAATTCTTAACACCGCTTTCTATCCGAGAAAACGTACAGCAAGGATAATGAAAATATCTTTTCTCTCTCTGTGATTAATCCGTTGATGATTCGATGGTCAAGAGATCACTTTAACACATTCGAGGTAATGCAACCCATTAGTGAATCACAGTAAAAATGAATTTGATATAATCACTCTATTTGAATCAAATAGAATGGTTTTTTTCCTTAGTTCACAAGACATTGAGTTTATCTTATGCTACTTTTCTACATTGACACCTCTTCTACCACTTTAACAATAAGAAGTATGAACCTAAAAGAATATATAACTATTATCCATTTCAAAAAAGAATGGATTCGGTTGTTTGTTGAATAACTCGCCAACACTGATAGCTATCGAGCTCGAGTTTTCGCCATTAGAAAGAGTATGAATGGAAGTACAAATCTATCTGCAAATCAAAATACTTGAAAAGTTTTCTAGAGGTTCCAAGGATTTTTTGGAAAATCATTATCTGATTCGTTTGATTAGTTGTATTTTCAAGTGAAATTAAAAATCCAATATCTCGAGAAAGGAACATCCTTTTTGGCTAAAATTTTTAGAATATTCTATTGAACACTGGACCTATCTATGGGTAAATTTTCAGGTCAGAATTCCATAATTTCATTTTCCGGTAAATACCTAGGAAAGAGTCGGAAATTCAGAAAAAATGGTCATCATTTTTTAAGAAAAGGTCGAAAACGCCTAAAAATTTCGGGATTTATACTAACGGCGAAAATCCGAGCTCAGTAGCTATCAATATTATCGAGTTATTCAACAAACAACTGAGTTCATTCTTTTTTGAAACGGATAATAGTTATCTTGTCGCTATTACGTTTATAGTTCTATATATTATTATTATTATTATTTGCCATTAGCCCCTTTAGTTGTTTTACTAACTTTAGTTCCTTTAGAGTGTGGGCTTGAGAGTGCGTGTGAAATAAAGATCTCATTGTCACCCAAACTTTAAAGAAACTGAGCGGAGTAAAGGGAGTAGAATTTATGAAAGTCATAGTAGCTTGAAAAGCCATAAAGTAAGACGAGATAAATTTAGTTTTTCGTGGATCTCCTCAGGATTTACTTATCCAAAATAACTTTTAGAATACACATGCGGAATATATTTTTCCGAAAATTCTCAAAGGTAATGTTTGCTTTTTGAAGCTTGATCAAAGTCGCATACAGTTAGATAATATGAATGGTTTCATAAATATATCAAGAAAAGTATTATTAAAATCATTATTAGTTACTAGAGTATCAATGATTATAACTGTTAGTCATTGTTATTGTCCTACAATGGAATATTGTTTCACAAGGAAAAGAGCGCAGCTAATGATAGATAAGTAATTATGAATGATTTTACCAGAAATTCTCGCATCAATTTCATATCGTTATTATTTATTTTGAAGAGAATAGAAGTCAAATGATTGGTATTCTATAATATTATATAAAAGGATAGAATTCTTTTTCTTATCCATCATTTATTAATCATAAAATAAATACTTATTCAAACTCAACATTATCTGAAAGGAGTCGATTAATTATAAGATTTTCTCGATAATATTTTCATATAAGTCTTCATTCTTCAATAAATTAAAAAAAGATTCTTTTTCAAGTTTCATAATTAATCAATTCTCTCTCTTAGAAACAATAATCAATTACGAAATAGATCTATTTGTTGATCGAAATTTCAATTCACAAATCATTATAATTAGAAATTCAGCATTACTGAAACTTAACATGCACGAAAGATGTATCTGTAACATCAGCTGTGAATGTGAGTCTACGTCAGTGAAGAGTTGATCCACATCCATATCCTTTCACACACAATTATCAAATTTAACATTGAACAATAGATTGTCGATATTCACAGAGATAATGTGAATTTTGCATTTGAAAGAGAGACCTTACTCGCAGTAAATTTTGTGAAATACGATCTAAAAGGAGTATTGAAGTATTGGAGTAAAAATTTGGCTTGCTACAAACGATGGCGAACACTTCTAACATTGAAAGTGTTGAGATTCAGCGAGATTTGAAGAGTGACCAACTATGTCTAATGTTTGCATTAATCATAAATTTATTTGCAACCGATTCATGGTTTGTATGACAATCGTTTCTTTCTTACATTTTTTCAGCATAAAAAATTTCTCTCCATATTACGCATGTGATGAAAAAGTAGTAAAAATAAAACGAATTTTGTTCGGTCGCCATGTGGAAATACAAACGTCCTTCTGTCACTTCAAACACAACTGTAGCTCATAAATTTTATTACTTTTGTTTTCTGTTTCGTAGAAGGCTTCCATGATGGAGACGAAAATAAAATGTCTGGTAAAAGGTAGTTATTGCAAAAATGAAGGTCGACGATGTTATGGGCGATGAAGCTATGGTGAGGTTCTGGGAGTTAGAGTAACAGTGAATAAATTATCGTTCAATCGTATCATCCAAAATTCTTGGGCGAAATCAGAAATTTTGATAAAACTTCAAAACTATGTTGAATCATTAATAAATTACACATAAAAAGGTACGTCTGATAAAAATCTGAGTTCAGATAAATAGTAGTCATTTATAGTATTCAGGAAATGTGAAAATTTTACAATAAATCCAAGGTAATTTTTATGGAGCCTAGAAGAGACCAATTTTCTGACAATATATTTTTTTGATTTCGAAATATTGAATTACATCGATGAGAAAATTAACCTTCTCTATTGATGGAAATTTTTCAGCTATAGATTTTGAGATGCTTTTTTGTAAGTTTTATACATTTTTTCTATGAGTCTTATTTTAGAAAAAACAGATAAAGCATGTATGCACGTAGTTGAATATTCCAATCTTAAACAGGATTAACATAGACCATCAAGAATTTAGATCTAATTAGTCACAAAAACTTATTGAAAATAATGTTAGAATTTCATTTGACATAAAATAAGAAATGAAAACATTTGAATAGTCGGTTCTTAACTCTTAAAAACAAATACAGTCACAGTTAGATTTTAATTTAAAGCAGATATATAAGTTACTTTTTACGATCGAATTATATAATGAACTGTTTGATACGGTGGCATCATGTCAATTGGCTGGGATGAACCTTGTACACCCGTATAGCCTACTATTTGGTGCGTATGAATTCCATCATTACGTATTATAATGCCTGTAGTATCACTAGAAATCCCGTGTCTATGACTTCCAAATGGACTAGTATTCCCAGTACCGTTGATAGTCAGGGAAGAAGTACCGTTGGATAAGGGCCCATTGCCTGTTAATCCGCCGTGATTGTGTCCTGGATCAGTGTAATTGTGTGTGTGATTACCGTCTGAAAGTGTTGTCAATGAGCCTTGGTCGTGAGAGTGTGCGGGCAATTCCGCCACAGTCAGCACATGTGACGAAGCGCCACCAGTGACTAATTGACTGGCATTGTTGCTACCACTACCCAATGGAAATCGAGTGCGAAAATCAGGTAGATTGAAAGTGTCATTACCATTGCCTGATCCATACATAACACCGATCACATCGAATAAGTCTTGATAGGTAATGCGAGACACTTCTGATCCATCACAAAATAACCAACGATGAGTTGAACCTCTCAATGTCGACAGATTACCACCGAACAAAATAATTGTACCAGGTGGCACCTCTGAAATGATCACAGATCGTTACCATTCAATTAACAGTTAAACATAGAAAATGTTCTGATAAAATATAAACATTCATGAAAAAAAAAGACTACTATATATGAATGAATAGCAATCTCATTATATTCTTCAGAGAAACAAAATGGCAGAAATAAATTGAATATAGAAACGCTGAGGCCATATTTTATTGTAGTATATGAGAGAAGAAAAGAAGTTAATTTTCTGAATTATTAGTACTAAAACAACGAAGATACGAGAGCTCTGCTGTTATCTCTTGTACTATCTTTTGTGAAACATAATCTAAAAAAGGAGTGTCGAAGCATAGAAGTCAAAATTTGGACTTGCTCCCTCTCCCACAGACTGTGATAGACGTTGTTGATATACAATCATAGATCGTATATCAATAACGTCTTGTTATAATATATGAGCTACTTCCTTATTGTAGTTCTGGAGGATCAATTAAAAGGATAGTAAAGAAAATACGTCCCAAAATAGATAGAATAAAACAATTTTCCTATGATTAGCTACAACAGCTGCATCGTATTTAACATTTTAATACAGCGAGAATTGTGCTAACAGCTTTTTTAAGATCAGGATCAATAGATATTGCTCAAGTAACGCCTCAGCTATGTTTTTTGTGTGCAAGTTTGTCCTGAATTTAGAACTTGAATTTTTCTCTTAAGCTAGAAATTACAATAGCATTATTTGCTAGCACTTGTATATAAGTTTATACAATAGAGAATCAACTAATATAGAATACATTTACTTTAAATTTAGTTCTGAGATACTTATGCAAGTAAAAATCTCGCAGAATACATTGAAAATAATGTTCGTTTTACGTTTTCATACAATAATATATTCAAATGGAGCTGACCATAATCAATAGATACAATTACCAAGATTTCATCAGAAATTATCCTATCTTAAGAGAGTTATACGTCAAAAAAAATCTCACGCTACATTAAACATTACAATCGAATTTTCAAGATTTTTTTAAAACTTTTCTTTTCATGCAGAATATAATACATATTTAACTTTTTTGTTTTGAACAGTTTTATCTTCCATTTATTAATTATTATTCGACGTTACCCCACGATCAATTTCGGATATATTGTGTAATGACACAATTAATTTGAATCGAACTCGACAGAAACTCAAACAATAACTAGACATCTTATATCCAGAAGAAAACTGTAGACTATTCACTAAACTTTCTCAGTTTCATTGGCAAGAAAACATCTATTGAGCCTTTCCTGTTGAGTATCTATTGATTCGTTAATTTCTTCAAGGATTTGTGCTTAAAAATTTTCTCATTATTTTGGACAAATATTGTTCTATTATGAGAGAACTATATGATCTAAAAGTTTTTGAGTTTTTCTATGGACTTTCTTGAGAATACTCGGAAAAAGAAATGGGATATTCTGTCACTAAGTATCAAGAGATGCAGTAAAATATGAACACCATTCGTCATTTATTGGTCAATCACGAGGGTATAAAAAAAAAGAAACTTTCCAACTCTTTAATGCGAATCGAATAAATAAGAGACGAGATATACTCATGATCAGCGTATGTAGTTCTATTAAGATACAATAAAAAAAATTAAAAGTTGGGCGTGATAGGTTTTGAAAGTTCGATTTCCAAATCGTTCGGCTTATATAGGAGCAGTATGACCTCGGAACTACAAAAGTGTTGACCACACTCATATGTATTCAGGTTGACGACTACCAAGTGCGCGTTTACGTTCATAAACTACCGTACACCGATGGTCGATATAGCTCAGTATTACAATCGTACTTCACTATCGTTTACGAATGTGTTTGTTTAACTTGAATAATTCAGATATTGAATCAAATGTTTTTTTTGTATTTCAAATAAAATTCGAAATAAAATACTTGTGGCTCCTCTTTTTCCGCAAGGCGAAACATGAAATCCTCTTATTATTAGTAATCAAAATTTTTAAAAGTTCTAACACATTCTCAAACAGTTTTGAACATTTCTACAATGATAGATGGGATGGTAAGAGTGCCTGCATTATGCGAGACGATGTATATTCAACGCTATACTGTAAATTAGAAATAAATTTTAATTCCTAGAAAATTGACAACAGCTTCAACATTTTAAAATTTTTATTAATCATTAAATGTCTTTTTTTTAGTTTATAGAAAATCGAAGATTTTGATGAATTGCAAAATCGATCTGAATTTCTATGGAATTTATTTTTAAAACAACAAAAAATCTATACTTATTCGATAAAAATTCAGAAATCGAGGCAGATTTTGTTAAAAATCTTTTGAGCATTGACTTTCACAGAGTCATTGTTCAGTCACATTTATAAAACAACAGATAGCGTCGAGCATTTATTTTTGCATCTACGAGGTGCAGCGAGTACATGAATTATTTTTCCTGCACTTAGAATGCGTCATAGCTCATCTTGTTTCCATAAAATCAAGTGGTCTACTCCGTCTTGTTCCTTCCTATCGCTTGCAAAAATATTATAAATGAAGTTTTATTTTCTTTTTTGTATTTTCATAAATTATAATATCTATCATGTATTGTTGATATATTCAAGATTGAATATCTTATTTTGAGACATTCTATTTTTAATCAAAATGTTCGTTTGATATAGTTAGATTTTATTGTTGAAATTGTTCTTGCATTTTGATCAAGTTTTAAAAAATGATTCTTACAAGTTATGTTTCTTTTCTAATTATCATTGTATAGAAACATTCATTATTATAGTTTTTATATTTTCTATTCAATATAAATCATATTTATGCTCTTTTGTTAATCTTAGAAGAAGGAATGGAATTTTATCGTAATCTAACTGTGTAGTTTCATAGAAAACTCTGAAATAGCATCAGATTCCGGCTGTGAAAATTTAGAAAATTTCATATATGATACTTGATTTGAATTTATCAGGATTCTATAAGATCTTCTAGTCCATTCTTTTCTTGTTTACGACTTTCTGTAATATCGTACTATGTGTATACCTAAATGTCGATACCTATTTTCCTATCAGCATCAACCTTTGCGTGTTCCTCGATTAACACAAGACATCTATTCTCGAAGTCCATGTGTATACTGTATGTCTATGTTTGTACGTACTTCTATTTCTTTATACATCCAGCTATATATCTACATTTTGCATACTTCACTTTTTAATTCTTTAGGACAGAGTAATCATCTGTTGTAATGAATGACTCTTTACTTGAAAACATGCCGGAGTTTTATGAATTCATCTAGTTCTAGACAAACCAGTATAAACTAGCAAGTTAAATATTTACCATTAGTTATGATTACTGCTGTTGTGTAGTGTGATGGTATCAACCAGAGTGCAAGTACAGTGGCTAACATCAAACCACCCATGAGTACACCTAACGGCATACCTTGAACGCATGGTAATATCGTTGACCACCAATTTGCCCACTTACATACTGATTTTGATCTCGAAGATGGAAATATAAAGATAACTTCTTCAAATAAATTCTTAGTTTGACTTACTTGCTCATCTGATCATTGGTGAAGCAATTTTCATTAACATTTATAATTTCGTCACTGTTATTCAAAAACGACCGTAGATTCTGAGAATCATCAAATTGTGTTGTTGACCAGTTACTCATTTGCGGGTATATCTGATTTTTTATGATCATTGTCGATATTAATTTCTAAACAAACGCAGTTCTCCAAAAAAAAAGTTCAATACGGACGTTTTTTTTTCGTGTTCTATACATTTATATGCTGTTACAGATGAAATAATAGTATGTGTAAGACTTCTTCTAATTTTCTCTGTTTCTTTATACAAAACAAAAATCATGATAGTGTATACTTACGTTTTTTTTTTTTTATTATTAATTTTTATTATAAAATTGTGGATTTAAGGAAGACACTCAAAAAACAAATTCATTTTCTCAAATTTGCATATTTTCTTCTCTCATGTTATACAGTTTAACAGAAAAGAGCACAGTGACAATAAAATTCCCGATCAAGGACGTACTCCTGAAGTTTGTCAAATTGCTATCTGGATGGATAAAAATAAATGAAAGAAAATCAAAAGGTGTTCGATGTTTCTCTTAAGAATGTGGGTATCAAATAACGAAGATCAAATTTTGACTATAATCAAAGTACTCCATGAAGTTCATAGAATTGTACAACAAGATCAAGTTTCAAAAGATCAGAATGAGTCCGTAAGCATGAGTTTCGTTTTCGTCCACAATCATATCCTACAATTTGACTCTCATCCATACCTTTATGTTTATTTCATATATAATTAATTTAGTACGTATTTCACATATAACTGATTTGATGGTCAAATATCTTAATTTGTGATGCTTAATAGACATTTTTCCCTGTCTCAGTGCAATATGATCTTGTTGAAGTAAAAGATAAATAAAAATTTAATAAAGAAAGAAAGAGAGTAAGAATGAAAAAATAAGAAGAAAGAAGAGTAAATAATTGTCTAATAACAAGCATGATTTAATGTTTATCATCTCATGTCTTTGAATTTCAAGTCGATTCAATTTTAACGATCGGTCACCATCTGACTGCTATTCAACCACGATGTAACAATCATTGTTCTTCGATCAGTGATCTACTGTCAATATACCATCGGTTGTAATGAATAACTCAATATATCAGCAGTAGTGCGACATGAAAATCCGTTAACCCTATCAAAGATAACAAGAAAACGAATAATGATAGCGAATAGTTTATTAGATAGTTCTATGCAAATATAAATTAATCTTAAACAAATTACAAGATCGGAACGAAACTCAAATAACTAAGAAATTATCATGACAATTTTCCAAGGAACCTTGCGTTATAGAATTGTTACTTTTTATTTTACACATAAATTGCTTAATAGAAAAACGCGAATGTATAGTAATGTGTCTAGACTGTTAAACGATTTTCAATAGATTGGAGTAATAGTACGATTGTGGTAGAACTTTTTTCCTTTATTGTAAGAGAATTTATGTTTGTTTAATGAGTATAATCTTCTAAAATTAACTACAAATATTAAGACTGATATAACAAATATGAAATTTGATGCTTTTTTTTTTCTAATTCATATCATTGTGTGTTAAACGCAAGCAACTATACAGTTCTTTTTTATGAATGAGTATCGATGATATTTTTAAGTAAGAAATGAAATCAGTACTAATTCAATCTTTGAATGAGAGGTTAAGTTAGTCAATCATATTTTCAAATAAAAATTAATAGTCTATTGGTTTTATTACAATAATAGTAATAGTCACATTTTTTTTTCATATATTGTTCTATTTAGTTTTGTTCATTCTTCAAAATGATTTATGCGATTGATGAGTTTACTTTTTCGAATAGATAAATATCTTTAAAGAAAAATCATTTCAAACAAATCCTTAAAGTCAAATAATAGACAATCGTAAATCAACAATCAATTTTTTTGTTAATCTATACTGGTTTGAAACGTGTTCGAAACATTGAATGTAATAATCTACAAATTAAATCTTTATTATTACAATAAACATTTATACAATTGATCGTACAAAACAAAATGGAGGACAAATCAGTATCTCAGATGAACGACGATAGGCCTAAATGTTAGGAAAAATAGAAAAATAAATAAATAAATAAATAATATACCAACTTACATCTCTCACTTCTCGAAGTTCTAAAAAAATAAAAAAATAAATTAGTGATTTCAATATATATAGAGAGTAACAGAATATTTTCTTACGTTCTTCGGTGAGTTCTACGCTATCCTTTTTCACTTTGGTCTCTAAAAATGAAAGAATTTATTTAAACTTCTAAGGAAATAATCGATTATCTATTATACGTACCAAGTGAAGATGAATGTCGTTTCTTTTTTGAAGCATCATTGTCGTCGTTGATTAATTTTTCTCTTGATATGCCATGCCCCATCATGAAATCGAAATATTTATAAAACGAATAGATAATCTCAACGGTAGGCTAAAATCAAATGTCTATTTATCGATTAAAAGTTGTGTGTTGTTGCGTACCTTTTATTTATTTATTTTTGTCTTCTAATAAAGAAAAAAGATTATTAAGTATATATATGCTTTGATTATTCATAGCACATGGATGGGATAAAAACGACAAGCTATGAATATCAGTTGCTAATATTAAACGAGCTATGCTTCAAAATATGATCGTCATTACATGTGCGAGACACTCATTATAGGATAAAATCATATGAAATGAATCACATGACGCTTCATCCATATATTAACTATGAGACAGAAATAGTAACTATTCCCTGTGAAGGTATATTCCTATGTAAGGCAAATGATGGGTCATATAGTAAAGGTTAAAGAAATTACGACGAAAGTTATTTTGATGATTGTAGATTTTATTATCGATAATTTCTATGTTTTGGTATCATTCAATAATTTAGGTTCGAAGGAAAATATTAATCTAAATATATATTTTCTAAAAATAAAATACAAAGAATATTTTTTTTTTACACAAGTTCTTCGATAAATTAATTTTTTTCTTTTTTTGTATGAATTTAGATTTTTTTGAAAAGAATTGATCGTTGGTGAAAATGTCATGAAAACTAACATGATTATTCTTCGTGAAATTTAATTCTCTCTTATATGACGAACTTGAATTGCTCTTGTAGTACAGATATTAATAATTCAAAATTTAATTATTGTCAAAATATGTGAGATTTAATTCTAATGTTTCAACCAAAAAAAAAAAATAATTGGTGATAGTTGAATTAGATTGAATTTCTAAA